GCACAGCAGCACCCACAGCAGCGCCCACGGCCGCCCCGCGTAGAACAGGCGCAGCACGGTGGCCGCCACGAAGAACGGGAAGAGCCCCGACACCACCGCCTCGTAGGTCATCCACGCGTGGTGCCGGTGCCACCACAGCGCGTTGTACAGCCACTCGCGGAAGTAGGACTTGGACCAGCGCGTCTGCTGGCTGAGCCAGCGCAGGAAGGACGAAGGCGTCTCCGAGTAGCAGCGCGAGCGCGAGGTGTACCTGGGCCGGGAGGGAGGGCTCGGGCTCAGGACTGCCGGCGCCGGCCTGCGTCCTCCCACATGTGAGGCGGCGTCCACAGTCCGCAAAGGGGCCCCACTACTCTGGAGGGCCGGGCAGGGGATTCTAGAGAGGCCGTCTCCACACAGGACCGATCTGCAGGCGCAACTCAGTGCCAAGACCCCGAATTCAATTCCCAGGGCCAAAAAGGAAACAGGAAAGGAGGGGAGGGGGGAGAAAAAAGAGGGGAGGAGCGGGGAGGGGGAGGCAGAGAGAGGGAGACAGAGGAGAAAAAAGGAAAGAGGGGAGTGAAGGAGGAGAAAAGGAGGAAAAGAAAGGGTGGAGGGGGTGACGGAGGAAGGGACGGAGGAAGCGGAGGCTGTGATCTAGGAAGGAGACTGAGGGCTGCATGCAGATTCAAAGGCCAAGAGGTCAGGGGCAGGCCACGGCACTCACTCAGCAGACGTCAGCCGTGGTGATTTTCCCTGTGACTAACACCTTACTCCCTCGTGGCTGACGTCCTAACAGACACCGAGAGACCCCGCCGTTACTAACACCAGCACTGAGCATTACTAACAGGACTGCGCCTCCTGTTCCTGGCAGGCCCTGCCTATAGGAACAGCCTGGGGCTGCTGCTAGGGGAGGCCATGTGTCAGCATTCTCTAGGGAACCCCTTCCTGTGGCTGCGGCGGACACGGGTGATCCGTCCCACGCAGGCTACACAGAATCCCATTTGTGGGAAGTCTCGGGGCCACCCTTGAGAGAGGTCCGTCTTCTCCTCCGCATCACCTGCCATCCACAGTGGCCTGCCTGCTCCTGCCCTTGCCGTGTGTACTCAAACCGTTGTCGGAGGGGCGCTGTCACATGTCGCTCCTCTGCTCCAAACCCTCTAGGAAGCTGGGCGTGGTGGCACACGCCTGTAACGCTACCACCCCGGGAGGCTGAGGCAGGAGGATCACAGGTGTGAGTCCAGCCTGCACAGCTTAGTAACTTAGTGAGACCCTGACTCAAAAATTTTAAAAAAATGTTTTAAAAAGGTTGAGGATGTAGCTCAATATGAAGGAACTGGGCTTAATCCCAAGTATCCAGGCATGGTGGGGAGGGGGTGCAACCAAAACCCAAATCCTGTCAGCCTTCCTAAGGACCGTTCTCTCTCTCCTCTCCCCCTAATGCTTCTAGCTACTCAACTAGCTAGCTCATTTTTGGAGCCATACTCCTCCTAGCCTCGGTCCCTCCCACCCCAGGCACTGCATTTAACACTGCCTTGGGCCCCCGGAACTCCTCCGATCAGGGTGGGGGGCTCTTCCTCCAGCACAGCCGTTAGTCTGCTGTGTTCTTCTAACTTCCCTGACTCACTCGCCCGCCTCCTCAGTCATTGTAAGCACCGGTCTGTGTCCCTTCCATCCTCTGCTGTGGCCCCAGAGCTTAGAACCACGCAGGCGTCTGACGAGGACGTGTCCAGTGAGTGAGCCCACCACGGCACCGAAGGCTCCCTGGGCAGCCCCACCTCTCGGGTCTTTCACGGGGTCTCCACGCACTTCCTGTTCACCTCCCCCAAGTCCCATGGATCCCCTTCTCCTGAAGTGTTCAGCATTTCCGGGAGATCTGGGGCTCTGCTCCTCTCTCACCCGACTCTCTCCTTCTCTTCTCTTCTCCCTCCCTTTCCTCTCCTTCTCCTTCCTCTTCGTCCTTTCCTTTGTTTTGTTGGCTCACGGTTAGATCCCACCCCATCCACCTGTTTCTCACCTTTGCCTCTCACCTCCCTCCTCACCTGTGGTGGCCACCACTGCCTTGGTCTCTAGGGTGGAGCTGACTCTCCCCTTCCACTTCGTTTCCCGGGGTGGAATCCCCACCCTCACCTTGTCTCATTGGTGGAGTTCACTGGTCACATGGCTCCAAGCGAATGTCCCCCGCCCCTGATGGTATCTTCCTTTGTCCCCTATGATCTCACTTGGTAGAGCCCACTGTCCTGTAGATTACCTTGGGTTTGGAGGATTGCACACACACACAGACACACACAAACAAAGACACACATGCGCGCTCACTGCCTCCTCACACACCCCACCACCCAGTCCCTTCAGCTTACTTGGTGGCGTAGCCCATGCTGAGCATGCGGTTGGTGAGGTGCCGGTCATCCCCAAAGGTGCAGTGGGTGCCCAGGAACTTCTGGTTGTACCAGGCCTCCAGGAACTGCTGCAGGAGGTTGTTCCTGTACAGGCCTGGGCAGGGTAGGGCGCACCAGAGAATCAGCCTTCACTGTCCCAAGGCACGGCCACCCCCAGCCCATCTTCCACTCCAACGCCATCCTGCAGTCTCCCCCGCAGCCTCAGTCTGGTCTCCAGCTACAGCTCCGCCCCAGTCCTGTGTTCAGCCCTGTCCAACATGTGTCTCTGGCCCACGCCACTTGGCTGGAGGCTACCCGCTCCCACGCCAGTGCCCCGCCCATCCTCAGCCCACTGAAAACCCAAGCTCCAGCGCCAGGCGGAGCCCGACTAGCGCTGCCTCCCGCCCTGCCCATCCGCTTCGCTAGGCCCTTCTCCAGTCTCCATCCAGACCCGTTTCCAGCCCATTCCCCACCCCTCACCGTGCCCAGCTCCCAGCCCCACGCCAACCCCTGATCTTCCCCCGCCCTAGTGCCACCCAGGCTTGTCTTTGCTTCCACATCCTCAGCCCCCTTGGGGTCCCCTCCGGAGCCCCACGCACTCACCCAGGGGGCCACTGATGCAGGACACACAGCGGAAGTAGCTCTGACAAGCTCGCTCCACGTTGAAGGCCACCCAGTACCGAAGGCTGCTCAGGAAGCTGACCCAGGAGTCCAGAGGGTTCAGGATCCGAACATCCCCCCCAACCGCCCCTACGCGGGGGTCCTCATCCAGCACCCGCACCAGCTCCAGCAGCGCCATGGGGTCCAGCCTTGTGTCCGAGTCACACACCTGTGAGGTGGAAGGGCCGGATGAGACCAGACAGCTGCTCAGGGCTGGTGCCTCCGGGGAGGGCGTCCCGGTGGGAAGGGTGGCCGGGGTGGCTGAGGAACATTCAGTCATCTCCCACGTCTAAGTATTTCTTACGATGAACCAGAAGACCTATGCTCTTGGATAATACCCATCTCTAGGTTGTGGGAGAGACCTGTAACTTGCTTCTAATGAACAGAAGGTTGTAAAAGTGATGGTCAGTGCCACCTCTCATTATATTTCCTTGTATGGCAGTGGTGAGTGGGTTTTCCTATATAACTAAGCCCCGAGTGCGTTAACTATAAGTTAATCAAAAGGAGACCATCCAGGGTGGGCCTGTCCTAATCAGGCAAGGCCTTTGCACTGAAGTCAGACTCTGGCCTGCCAGCCTGGACTTGGCAAGCTACCAGAAAGCTTCTGTGGCTTCAAGAAAAATTCTGCCAACACACACAGGGGCTTGGGAGAGGACCTCTGCTCTTGGATAAGACCCAGCCCCAGCCGACCCCTGACTGCAGCCTGGTGACACCCTGAACAGAGCACCAGTCTGTGCCCAGCCTCTTGACTCACGGAAACATGAGATAATAAGTTATAATGGCAGCCGAGGGACACATGTTTTGTTTCAGCTGCCAAGTTTATCGTAATCTGTTTTGCAGCAATAAAAATCTAATGCAGTCTATTAGTGACTACGAATACATGGAGTGGTTGAAGGAATGGTTAAGTAAATAAACAAATCTCTGCACTGAGTCCATGGATGGATAAACAGAATCCCAAAGTCAAAGAGAGGGAGAGAAGGAACAGAGCTCTGTGTTTAATGGATGTGTGAATGAGTTAAAGAGCGATTGTTCACACCCTGATGGATGGAAGGGTGCATGAATGAATGGGTGAAAGCGGGAATTTCTACACTGAGGAAGAAAGGAAGGAAGGGAGGAAGGAAGGATTGTACTGAATGGAGAGACCAGTGAATGATTCTCTCCATGAAATGAACGGACAGATGAATGGATCACTGAATCAAGGAAGTAAAAGGTTTCTGCCCGGGATGGGTAGTTGAGAAAAGGGAGGAGTAAATGACTCCGATTGGTCAGCTAAATTAATGAATGGATAAGATGAGATAAGTGAATGAAGGCCAGGTGGGTGAATGAAAACCTAAGGAAGGATTCTGGGCGCTGAACAGACAAAGGATCTCCACACTGAAGGGGCAGACGTGTGTGCGCGGAGGTCGAGGGAAGGAAAGTCCCTCCGTGAAGGACGGACGGAGGCAGGGAAGGAGGAAGGAAGAGAGGGAGGGAGGGAGGAGGGAAGGGAGGGATGCACGCAAACCTCCACCCTGCCCTTGGTCTTAGCCCAGGATGGAGAAGCCAAGGTGCGGCCCGCGCCAGGCCGCCGCGTCCGCTCACCTGCACGTAGTCCACCGAGTCGCCCAGCGCCTTGAAGGCCGTGTACATGACCTCGCGCTTGCCGCCCCAGCGCTG